AGTAATTTCTCACCCCAGGTGGTCCAAGGAAGCATCCAGGACACAGTGGGCAAAGTCCAGGGGAGAGGGCAGCACTGGGGCTCCCGAGGTCTGTGAGTGCAGACAGGGAAGGGCATCTGAGTGGACAAAGGGGCTTTGTTCTCAGCAGTCAGGGAACCAGGGAAGGGACGGCAGGCGGTGGTACTCACCAGGAGGGAGAGTGGCCCAACAGAAGGAGCCAGGAGCCAGGATCCAAGGGTGAGAGAGGGGAACCCTTGTCATCTCCGGAAGTGAGTGACCCTCAGAGGAAGCAGTCCCTGCCAGAGTGATGGCTGCTGGCTGTGCTGCCCTGGGCTGGCTGAGGGTTGGCGTGAAGGACAAGTAAGGGGCCATCCAGCCTGCACGCCATGTTCCCCGAAGTGGCAGGAGATTCCTCAGCAACCGCAGCAGACACTCCTGCCCCTTGAATACACAGTGGCAGCCAGAGCCTCTCCCCACTTTTGTCCCAGGTGCCCAGGCCAAAGTGCATATCCTTCCTTGCCCACTGCAGCTGAACCCCTGAGGTTCCCAGCCTGCCTGGAGGGCCCAGGTCAGATGTGATGACACACTCAGAGCTGGCCTGAGCGGTTGCAATAGCCCATTATCAGCAGGTCACAGTGACTGCCTGGGCCATGGTCACCTGCTGGGCTCTGTCACCCCCAGCCCCCGGAAGCCCAGGCTCTGCTCTCAGGCGGAGTGGCCTGCATGGCCCAGAGCTGTGGGCAAGTCAGGGGCATCTCTCCCCCTTCCTAAGGGCAAGCATTGGCACCTTCTTTTCCTCTTGATCTTTCTTGCCCGAGAAGGACCTTAAAGCTGTCCAGCGCTGAGCTGACTGCCTGTTGGGTCTGGCAGGGGTTCTCTGAGCAGGGATCTCAGGTGTGACATATGAGATCCCTGAAGGAGTCAGCTGTCCCCAGCCCATCCTGCAGAATGTCTAAGGAGTCTGTGCTGCCAGGGAGGGATCCCAGAATTGCGTGTCACCATGCACATTGCTGGCCCCTTGCACCCTGAAAGCGTACCCTACGTGCTCCTTGGACCTCTGGGATCCAGGCTGGTGTGCAAAGGGAAGCAAGGGCAGGCATCCTATATCCAGCACTAAGTTCCTATGAGGACCCCAAGCTTGGGTCTGCGAGGAGGGTCATGGGAGGCAGGGTGGGGTACCCTGGTTCAGCAGCAACTAGACTCTGGACAAATGCCTAATCTGGCTTCAGTTCAGCTGCTGGAGGGAGGGGAGGTGATTCTTGGATGGAGGGGCACCCCCAGGGGTTCGCTGATTGCAGGCAGATCTCCCTGGAGTAGCAAGAGGGGCAGGAAATGCTGGGGCCGTGATGCGTCAGAGAACGTCCAGCTCTGTATCATCCAGAACATTCGGCAGTACTTTCTGGATCTCAGTCCTGCCAGCACAAGGTCTGTGGCCCTGGCCCAGGCTGGTGGGCTCCCTGAGGAGAGGACATGGACAGAGGGTTCCTGATTGCCTGGCATAGGTGGGGACCATGGAGCTGCCCTGGCCCCATGTCCTGCCTCAATGCTAATCAAGAAGTCTGTCTCCCACCTCGTTCTATCCTGCTGTGTCATTCTGTACAACAATCTCATTCCCCTTCCCCCCTTCTCTTTCCTTCCTGAGTTCAAGTGCAATCTCTCCAGAGCCTGGGTGCCTGTGCCTGGGGAAGGAGGTGGAGTCAACTGTCCCCCTCCCAGAGCTGTTCTGTGGTCAGAGCTGAACTTGTGGGTCCCAGGCATTGTTGGCTTCCTGGGAGGAAGGGGAGAAAAGATGAGGGGTCCCTGGAGAGCAGGACCCCAGGCCTCCCCAACTGCCACTGTCATTCATCTTTACAGCCAATAGTGATGCAGATTTCCAGTTGTTACCTGGATAGCTTCGCCTCTAGGGGTGAGGACTGGGAGGCCTGGTAATCCCTTTAAGGCTGAGTTGGCGTTGGAGGCCCTGGTGGGCAGGGGCGGGGGGCTGGGGATCTGAGTTCCCCTCAGGGTTGGAGTTGGTGTTGGAGGCCCTGGAGGGTGGGATGAGGGGATGGACCTTCCTGTGTGCATATAAAGTGCTGCTTGCCATTGTCCTCCACACCCTAGCAGAGGTGAGTCGGTCATGTGCCATGTGCGGAGACTCAAGTGAGGTCAGCATGGAGTCTGCGCCCAACCTCTGGGACAGGGGTTTTGGTCTGGGCTGGGCTCCCTCCTCTGCTTTCCTGACAGGCAGAATCTGAGGCATAGAGGGGGGCAGCTCCAAACGCCAGCAGGGGTGAGCTCAGTCTTGGCTCAGGGTCCTCAGCCAGTCCACGTGTCCCAGTCACTGGTTGCTGGGGCTTGGTTTATGTGGCACTGGATGTTGAGTGCAGCCACCAGAGGGCAGAAACCACCCATAGGAGCTTGCTGGCTCTTAGCCGGCACCCCCACCCACACTTATACGTGCACCCCATTTCTCATAACCTTCCCCACCCCAGTGAGGGCATGTGGTGTGTCAGCGTGGGTGGGTGACATCTCCATGGAGACCACCAGAATCAAGGCCTTGCCCCGGTTGGGGAAGTTAGAGATGTCACATGGTGATAGGTGACACCCTGGGTGGTGTCAGATGTTGCCACCACTGTTGCAACATTGCTGAGGATTTACACTGTGGTGTTGGGAGGGTGGATGAGCCTGGGGAAAGCCAGCAGACGCAGACAGGTGGCAACCCATCACTCCAGCTGCTGTTGGAAATGCCAGCAGCACTGCCCAACAAACTGCCTCATCCACCCTGACTCCACGGTGGGTGGGTCAGGCCCGGGTTTTACAGCCAGAGAGAATACCAGTGCTAGGTCTTGACTTGCTAGCTGTATTGTCTTGGGCCCTTTATTCAGTGTCTGTGGGCCTTGCTTTTATCTTGTGCATGCCAGCCCCTGGGATTGCTCCTGGGACACAGTGAATTTATGTACACCGAACACCAAGGAACAATGTTGTCTTTTTGCCAAGGTATTTAGGGCAGTAATGGAAGCGTCCAGAGGCACAGGGAGAAGATGTCATCTTCCCATCACAGCTGGGCTCTCTCTGGGTGGGGAGAATGTGGTGAGGGTCTTCCAGGAGGCAGAGAAGAAGGGGCAGGGGGAACAGGAGGCCAGCCCCACACCTTTCCATGCCACTCTCAGACCTCTGGAGACGCTCTCCTCTTGTTCCTGGGACTTCAGGCCCTCTGCACCTCTGCTTGGCCATTTGTGAGCCAGGCCATGCTGGGTGGAGGGAGGAGAGGGCCAGGCAGCCAGAGAGTGTGCCCAGCCAACACACGCTCCTCCTAGCCAGTCTGTCACATACCCATTTCTCTTCCTTCCTGCCGCTGTTCCTGGGGAGGGAGGGAGGGGTGCAGAGGGGAAGACAGGCGCTCCCCCGTGCAGAGAGCAGCAGGTGCAGTAATGATGCAGACAGGATCTGGTGTCCCTGCACAGGGCAGAAGCCTTCTGGGAGAGCTGGCCCTGCTCTTACTATGAAACACTGCATATTGTGCACTGACTTCACTGCGTGTAGCTCTGCCCATGCTGTATAACCCTGCTGGTGTAGTCTCATAAGTGAATTGAGGTCAACCTGACCATAGTCGTTTTGTCCCCAGGGGGCACGGAGGGGGCATGGTGCTGCCTTCATTCCAACGGAGCATTCAGTGAACACCTTCTATATGCCTCGCACCATGTTGAGTTCTTTCGAGGTGGCATCTTGTGGAACTGCTCAAATAACGGGCACCCAGACTGAGGGTCAGAAAAACTGAGAAGGGGCTCTTGGCCATCCATGCGGAGAACCAGCTGAGAGGGGCTTAGTGGGGGAAGGGGGAGGGTAGGACATTACATCACACGCATGGGGGTGGTGGTTATTCAAGAGAGATGGTAGAGTTGAGGCTTTGGGCAGAAAAATCAGATTGTATAGAGCAGAGTCCTGGGGCCCTGAGAGCATCTGGGGAGACTCATAGCGGGGGTGGGGGGGGGTGGGGGAGGCGTCCTAACTTCAGGAGAGACTGTGGAGAGCTTAGCCTTGTCCACAGGGGCACCATGACCTGAAAGGCACAGAGAAGCCCCCTCCCCTGTCCCCCGGCTTGGCAGATCTGCACGTGCAGCGTGTGTTCCGGGCACCATGCACCTTGGCAAAAATCAGACCCAGTGATTCCTGCCTGGAATTGGCACAGGCCATTTCCACTTCTGCTGGGCTGCTGTCTTTGTGCTTCAGCTCTTCCTCTGCAGACCCCTCAGCCCACCCTTGCCCTCCGGAGAGGGCTGACCCAGCCCTGTCCAGGGTGTGCTATGTGTAAAAATACATGAGGTTGAGCCACTTCCTGTGGCTTCCGGTGTTGCATGATGATAAGACATCAGGCGCTGGGCTGTAGGCAGAGAGCTTGCAACAGGCAGGGCGACCGTGCCATAGGAGAGCTGGGCCCCCCCGCCGGCCCAGCCCAGCAGCCCTGGCCCTCCCGGGTTTTCCTATCATCCGTGGCCTTTGCTTCCTTTCTCCTCCTGCCCCCTCCTCTCTGTTTCTCCTCTTCCTTCATCGTCCCAAGTTTTGTACCACCCCCTGATGTGCTTAGGGGGTGCTGAGGGGGCTGTCATTTTCCTACTTGGACCTTTACCCTTGCCCCAGATCCCAAATCAGCCCCTGCTTCCGCTGGGCAGTAACCACAGTCCCCAGGGACCTAGCTAGCAGGGGAGGTGGGGGGGTTTGTCTCCCAGCCCTGGGAGATGTCATGAAACGGAAGAGGCTGCTAAGCATTCCAGGCAGCTGGAAGGTTAACGGAAGGGCCGGGAGGCTGGGTGACCGCCTGCTTTGGGCTGTGTTGACAAGATAGGGAGGTGGGGGCCCAGAATGCGGGCAGCAACAGGATGGGGGATGGTTGGAGGAGAGGAGCCAAATCGAGAGCCTGTTTGTCTCATTCCTGAAATATCAGCCGGAGAACCCCGGGGGAGGGGTTGGGGGAGGCCTTCAGTAGCCCACAACTTACCCTCTGTCTTTTCCTGCCTCAGGTTGACAAGGGAGACGCGGCCACCCTGAACCTCCCCGCCGGCTCCAGCCATGGGGACTCTGATGGCCCCATCTGCCTGGACGTGCCGGAAGGGGCGCCGGACCCCCAGCGGACCAAGGCCGCCATCGAGCACCTGCACCAAAAGATCCTGAAGATCACGGAGCAGATCAAAATTGAGCAAGAGGCGCGGGACGACAATGTGGCCGAGTACCTGAAGCTGGCCAACAATGCCGACCGGCAGCAGGCGTCGCGCATCAAACAGGTGTTCGAGAAGAAGAACCAGAAATCAGCGCAGACCATCGCGCAGCTGCACAAGAAGCTGGAGCACTACCGCCGGCGCCTGCGGGAGATCGAGCAGAACGGGCCCTCACGGCAGCCCAAGGATGTGCTACGGGACATGCAGCAGGGACTGAAGGACGTGGGCGCCAACGTGCGCGCTGGCATCAGCGGCTTTGGCGGCGGCGTGGTGGAGGGCGTCAAGGGCAGCCTCTCCGGCCTCTCACAGGCCACGCACAGCGCCGTGGTGTCCAAGCCGCGGGAGTTCGCCAGTCTCATTCGCAACAAATTCGGCAGCGCCGACAACATCGCCCACCTGAAGGACCCGCTGGAGGACGGGCCCCCCGAGGAGGCGGCCCGGGCGCTGAGTGGCAGCGCCACGCTCGTGTCCAGCCCCAAATATGGCAGTGACGACGAGTGCTCCAGCGCCAGCGCCAGCTCTGCCGGAGCTGGCAGCAATTCCGGGGTGGGGCCAGCGGGAGCCCTGGGAAGCCCCAAGTCCAACGTGCTCTACGGAGCCCCTGGCAACCTGGACGCTGTGCTGGAGGAACTGCGAGAGATCAAGGAGGGCCAGTCGCACCTGGAGGACTCCATGGAGGACCTGAAGACCCAGCTGCAGAGGGACTACACCTACATGACCCAGTGCCTGCAGGAGGAACGCTACAGGTGGGTGCCAGTGAGCACAGGTTTCAGGCTCAGGGCTGTGCAGGCAATGGGAGGAGTGTGTGGGAGCTGCCCTTCTCCTGACTGGGCAAGGCTGTCTCAGGATGCTCTGACCACCTGTTGCTGTTGCATTGAGGAAAGGGAGGCAGGGAGACACCAGGCCACCAGGGTTCAGACCCCGGCGCTGTCCTTGAATGGCACGGAGAGCAAACTGGTTCACACCTGTGCACCTGTTCTCCGCGTTGGTGCAGTGGACATCATCCCTGTCATGGGGAGAGGCGGTGTGTGTCCGCCTGCAGCCTGGTGAGCTAAGGCAGCCTGTGGAAACCCCGAGGTTCACACAGCTTCACACAGCCCCCAGCTCATGTGATTTACTGTCACCTGCCACTTGGAGCTTGGTCCCTAGATCTGGGGGGTATCTCCTGAGCTGGCATTTCTTAACATTTGGAAAGTTGAGACTGTATAAACTTTTCTTTATGTACCAGGGTATTTCAAAAAGCTTGTTGAAAATAGAGTTTAGAGTTTGTTTTTGGTTAAAAACAAAATATTTGAGGACTCAGCGTGGTAGCCTGGTTGCTCAAGTCCTCACCTTGCATGCACCAGGATCCCATATGGGCGCCGGTTCTAATCCCAGCAGTCCCACTTTCCATCCAGCTCCCTGCTTGTAGCCTGGGAAAGCTGTCAAGGGTGGTCCAAAGCCTTGGGTTCCTGCACCTGCTTGGGAAACCCAGAGGAAGCTCCTGGCTTCTTGCTTCGGATCGGCTCAGCTCTGGCCATTGCAATCACTTGGGGAGTGACTCAGTGGACAGAAGATCTTCCTCTCTGTCTCTCCTCTGTATATCTGACTTCCCAATAAAAATAAATAAATATATTTTTAATAAAAAAAATAAAAATAATTTTAAAATGTGAAGCCCACACATATGAAAGGTCTTCAGGATGTTCATGGAAATGTGTATTCTGAAGAAGGAAATGGCCAGGTCAGCAGGTGTGCTGCTCTCAGCCCTGCTGCTAATCCAGCTCCTGCCAGTGCTCCTGGGGAAGCAGAGGAGGCTGGCCCAAGCACTTGCACCTCTGCCAGCACATGCAAGACCAGGAGTACCAGAGTGCTGGCTTTGGCTTGGCCCAGCCCTGCCCATTGTGGCTGTTTGAGGAGTAAACCCACGGATGGAAGATTCTTTCTCCCTCCCTCTGTCACTGCTTCTTTCAAATCAATCAGTCAATCTTTAACTTTATTTTTAAGATTTATTTATTTTTATTGGAAAGGCGGATATACAGAGAGGAGGAGAGACAGAGAGGAAGATCTTCCGTCCAATGGTTCACTCCCCAAGCAGTCACAACGGTTGGAGCTGAGCCAATCCAAAGCCAGGAGCCTTCTCCGGGTCTCCCACGTGGGTGCAGGGTCCCAAGGCTTTTGGGCCATCCTCGACTGCATTCCCAGGCCACAGGCGGGGAGCTGCATGGGAAACAGGGCTACTGGGATTAGAACCGGTGCCCATTTGGGATCCCAGCACATTCGAGGTGAGGACCTTAACTGCTACGCTATCACGCCAGGCCCTATCCTTAACTTGTATTTTTAAAAGATTTATTTTTATTAGAAAGGCAGATGTACAGAGATAGAAGGAGAAACCGAGAGATCTTCCATATGTTGGCTTAATCCCCAAGTGATTGTAACGACCAAAGCTGGGCCAGTCTGAAGCCAGGAGCCAGCAGCTTCTTCTGAACCTCCCAGACCGTCTTTCACTGTTTTTCCAGGCCATAAGCAGGGAGCTGGATGGGAAGTGGAGTAGCCAGGACTCAAACTTGTCCTCGACTGCTTTCTCAGGCCACAAGCAGGAAGCTGGATGGGGAACTGGACCACTGGGATTCAACCAGTGACCATATGGGATCCAGTGTGGCAAAGCAAGGACTTTAGCCACTAGGCTACTGAGCAGGCCCCACAGTCATCTTTTGTTCGGGGCTTGTGTCTGCTGCTCCCCAGGCCTGGCCCTCCAGGCAGTGTCTGAGCCCATAGTCGAGCCAGTCCATCCCTAACACCTCCTTTCCCACGCTGTATGACCCTGGGCAGGCCCCTTACTTGCTGTGTATTCCCAGCTGTAAAATGGGCACAAGGCATCCTCATCTTGCAGGCTGATGCTGAGCAGCGCGGGGCAGGTGTGGATCACTTGCTCAGCATAGGACCTGCCTGTGAGAAGTGCTCTGTGAACAGTGGCTTCTAGTGGACCTGGGCTGTGTCACAGTCGAGAGTGACTGAGTCGGTCCTGGGGAGGCCCAGCAGCCCAGCTGGCACAGCTTCAGCCTGCCCACCCCTCCCCTTCACCAGGTACGAGCGGCTGGAGGAGCAGCTGAATGACCTGACCGAGCTCCATCAGAATGAGATGACTAACCTGAAGCAGGAGCTGGCCAGCATGGAGGAGAAGGTGGCCTACCAGTCCTACGAGAGGGCACGGGACATCCAGGTCTGTGGGGTTGGCATCACACCCAGTGGATGGGCACGGGCTGGTTAGGCCCACCTTGGGGGTGGGGGCGGGAAGGAGGCAGAGCCAGGGTTCAGCCCACCTCTTTGAGGTCAGCCTGTAGATGAATGACTGGCATTTTGGGGAGGCTCCAGCTTGCTAAGGAAAAGATCAAAACGTCGGGGCGGGGGGAGAGAGAGAGAGCACTTGTCATCAAGGACCCTGGGGGAGGAGGAAGCACCCTCTGGCACCACCTGCTGGCCCCGCCCACCCTGAGCCCCCTGCACCTGCCCCTGCAGGAGGCCGTGGAGTCCTGCCTGACCCGTGTCACCAAGCTGGAGCTGCAGCAGCAGCAGCAGCAGGTGGTGCAGCTGGAGGGTGTGGAGAATGCCAACGCACGGGCACTGCTGGGCAAGTTCATCAACGTGATCCTGGCACTCATGGCCGTGCTGCTGGTGTTCGTGTCGACCATCGCCAACTTCATCACGCCGCTCATGAAGACGCGCCTGCGCACCACCAGCACCGCCCTCCTGGTCCTCGCCCTCTTCTTGCTCTGGAAGCACTGGGACTCCATCACCTACCTCCTGGAGCACGTGCTGCTGCCCAGCTGAGGGCCTTGCCCAACCCGTCCGTGCTGCCTGCCTGGCCCGTGCTGGCCACAGGGGAATCCCCAGTGCCTGCGACTTCTTCGTGTGTCTAGTTTGGCCTCTGTCTCCCGGCAGCCCCAGCCCCTCCTCTGTACCCGCTCTGTCTCATGTCTTCTCCCTGCTGGTCCCAAAGGGGCCTTGGTTGGAGCCGGTGGGGACCCTGAGACTGCATCATGAGTTACCATCGCACGAAGACATCTCCCAGCCCAGCCAAGTGAGGGGTGCGCAGGGTCAGGAGGGCTTCGGGGAGGAGAAAAGCTCAGGCCCCCTGCCCATTTCCTCCAGGATTGGTGGGAGGCTGGCTCCCTAGGGAGCCAGTGAGCATGGCCTGTCTTTGAGTTTCCTTACCCACCTGTCTGCCCATTCCTGGATCTGCCACTTTCAGGGAAGCAGTCCCCAGGGGCCGCAGCCCCAGCCTAAGCCCTGAGGCCTCCAAGGTCTCTGGGAGCACACTGGGTTCTGTGTGTTTATTTATTTGTTCCCTTGTCCCTTGCCCACACCTTCCCTGCCAACCTTGGTTGCGGAGGGGAGGGCCCACACTGACCCTCTCTGCAGCTGGGGTTCTTCTGGGCATCTCTATACCACGTGGCCTCTGCCTGCTCAGGCTGGGGTGCAGGGCCAAGCAAGGGCGTGGCCTCTCTTTTATATGTCTATTTATTTTGTACGTGTGTGCCCGTGTGGAGGAGGATGCCTGCCTCTTTATTTTTGTAAGGCTCCGGAGTGTTGTGTATGGTTTCTCTTCACATCCCAGTCTCCCCATGGCCACTTCCCAGCAGAGGGAATTTCTTGGGAAAGGATCCAGGGGTCCCCAAAATGGGGAGGGCAGTGCCTGGGGCCGCTGTGCACCTGCCCAGGAAATAAACACCCTCTCAGTTTTCACACTATTCTGTCTGGCCTCGGCTGATTGATTAGCTGCACAACTATCCAGGATTCTTTCCATGAGCGGCAAGGCCTCACTTTTTGACCTGAAGTACTCTTCCTCCAGGATCTTCCCACCTGGATTTGCGAAGCCCAAACTCTAGCTTCAGTGATGCTATAGTGAGAGGTGATTTCTGCCCAGTCCCAGCCCTTCTGGAGCACTTCCAAGATAGTCTAGCTAGCAGCAAGTGATCAGGGGCCTGGATGACAGCAGTTATGCCCAAGTATGGCCACAAGAGGGCAGCAGAGCCTGACCACTCCGGCTTCATCCTGGCTGGCAGTTTAGTGGTATGGATGCCAGCACCCCTGGCACAGAATGTCTGCTCTCCAGGAGCTGGCCATTTCTCCACACAGTGTCTGCAGCACCCATTCCTGAGCATTCCCCCAGAAGGCACCTGGGGAAATTCTGGATTCACAGCAAAACCCCTCACAAGTTGAGGGGAGCCCCTTAATTTCCCTCCTGGAAGGAAGAGAAGACGCTAGGCTCTGGAAAGTGAGGTCTGGAGGGCTTATGAGCAAAGCATCTGCCCCAGAGCCCAGAATCAGCACAGCTGCAACAACACACACACACACACATACACACACACACACCTGTCGCAGTTCCCACACCTATAGCATGCTGGGAGCTGTCCCTGCTCAGGGTCTAGGCAGTCTGTGGTCCTATGGGTCCAAGGCTACAGCTGTTCCTGAGGCCTGGGGCTTGAGGAGGCCCTGGGAGGCAGGACTAGTGCCCTCCCTAGGCAAGAGAGGATGCAGCCAGTGCTGCCGTGTCACATAGAGCAGCTCCAGCAATTCCTATTCATGGCTCACAAGGCAGGAGTCTCACCAGGTGACCTTGTGGGGCCTACCAACAGTGCCACATGTCACGCCACCCTTGGGGGCCCCGGGTGGCCAGGAGCCCACATTCCTGGGCCCCAGGTGGGGGGTGGCTGCTCTGCCTGAAGACATTTCCCACATTCCTTCTCAAGGTCGATGTTTTCCCTGATGGGCTCTTAAATGTCACAGCCAGCCGCGGCCGCTGTGGCGGGGGCAGGCAAGCGGGCGTCATTCTTGGCTGATCCCAAGTCTGCAAGGCCAGCAGTTCAAGGTGGGGGGTGGTGAGCCCCAGTTGCCTGGGGTCATCTTCGGCCAGAAGTTCTGGCCTGTGTTTGTCTCATCGGAACGGTCAGATGCCTGGGAAGAGCCCGCCTGTCTAGGAGCTGGAAGCTGTCCTTCTGAGGGTCAGCAGGGAGTCCTGGGTGTAGATCTGAGCTTCCTCCATGGCAAGGGAGTGAATCACTCCTGCCCGTGCCAGGGTTCGCAGGGTGAGACACTGAGTCATGGAGACCCTCCATGGAGGCCTACCCAGATGGCCCATCTTCCATCCTCCCTGACACCTTCCATCCTGCAGGGCCCAGCTCCACCTGGGCAGGCAGAGGGCTCAGCCAGTCCAGGGTACTACTCTATGGGCAGCTGAACGTGGTGAGCAGAGCTGGGCCTCCCTGCAGCCTTATGGCAACCTTGCACTTCTAGCAGCTGCAGCCTCGGCCAGCCCCAAACAGGCACTCAGCACAGGCCACAGGCTAGGGGGCACTGGAGCCATTCTGTGTTGGGGGGTGCGGTTTAGAGAGAGGAAAAGCCCCCTCATCCAGATACTGGGAGTGGTCTTTGGGGCAGGACCTGCCAGATACAGCTCCTCCAGTCCCAGCAGAAGAAAATGGCCCTGACTCAAGGACTAAGCACAGAAATGGGATGAGCCCTAGGGGTGGTCCCTGGGAGGCCATGACCTCACCAGGGCTGCCCCTCTCCTCACTTCTGCCACAGAGGTGTCAAGTGTAGGCACTGAGGCGCCTTGTGCCAGCCTCGCAGGAGTGAGCAGGGCTCAGGGTAGCCTGGTGGGTTGAATCAATCCCTACTCCTTGTACACACAGCCTCTCTACCCCAGGCACCAGGAGTCTGCTCATCCTAGGGGCCTCTCAGCCAAAACCAACCTGAGCACCAAGAGGCCAGGTTCAGCTTAGGAGAGGGTGAACAAGGCCTGCCCAGGCCGACTGCTGTGACCCTGGCTCTGTGTCCAGGTCCAGGGCAGGAATCGATGCCAGGGGCCTGGGTTGGAATACAGGTTGCTGGAGTCTAGGCCTTGTTTCCCCATCTGAAACACAGGGCTGATACCCATGCTACCCACACAGCAAGCAGTGGTAAGGCCTTGAGATGCCACATATGGGTTCCTGGTACCAACACATGTCACCCCAGAAGCAGGATGCTGCCCAGCCATCTGGATGCCCCAGAAGAACAGGGCTCAGGGAGTGGCCTGCAGTGAGCCCTCCCAGCCTGCAGGCTGGCAGCCATCCTCCAGATGGACACAGAGTGGGGAGCTGGGCCCCTAGCAGGCCTGCTGGGACTGTGGGAGGGAGGGGAGTGTCTGGGACCTGCCCCAGCAAGTCCAGGCCTGCTGGCAGGTTCTGAGTCACCCAGCCAACCAGGAGGGCAATCTGGTGGGGACCGCATCACTGCCTCCCAGGCACGGATCTCCTTCCTGTGGTGCCTCCTTCTTGGAGTGTCCCCATTCCCAAAGGTGAGCTGCCTGGGTGAAGTACCCTGGCCTAGGGGTACCCAACCAGCCATCTCAACCATGGCCCTGACTCCTGGCAGACTCCATGGACCTAGATGCCGGGGTTCCGTGGCTGGCCCCCCACCCAGCTGAAAGCTTCCTTGGGGCCCCCCTTCTCTTCTCTCTGGCCAGGTTAATGTCTCTGACTGGCAGGTGTGGGGACTCTGTTCTCAAGGCACCTCAGCCCAGGTTAGAATGTGGCGGCTAGCCCTGGGGGCTGGGTCTCCCATCAGGTCCAAGGCCCCAGAACGGGTCACTACATGGACACCTACCAGAGCATCACCAGGACAGAGGCCGATCTGTGAAGGCCTCGGTCTCCTCCCCTTCCCTTGTCAGCCAGATGGGGTAAAGCAAGTCCGAGGATGAGCTGCTGGGGAGGAAAGGGCTAGTGGAAGTGGGAGAGGGGTCCTCTGTCCTTCTTCCTCTCCTCAGCTGGGCTCAGAGCCCTGCCCGCTACTAGGGAGCCAGGAACCTACAGTGAGACCCGCAAACCATCCCCAGAAACCCAGCAAAGATGATAACACTACCCTACCCTCACAAGCTGGCGGGAACATGGGTAGGTGCCTGTATGTGTACCGGAAACACAGACACGTGCACACACAGGTACACATATGCATCCACAGGCTCAGGCGTCAGAACAGCGCAGCCCCGCCCAGAGGCCAGGACCACCCTTCCCCGCCCAGAGCTCTCCAGGGATGGGAACTTCAGAGGGTGCTGTGTCCCCTTAAAATTCAGAATGAAGGGGAGGTAAACGTTGGGGGAGAGGAGGGCAACACCACACACTCCTGAGGAGCTGGGACCCCCAGAAACCTGCGGACTCAGAGGTGCAGGGGGACTGAGGACCAGCAACCAAGAGGCTGGCACAGCCTGGGTCTCAGGGATGTTGGAGAAAAGGACAGTGTGACCTACTTGAAGGCAGGCAAGAGCCAGAGTGTGTGATGGGCAGGGAAGCCACCAGAGCTGTCCACCGCAGGCCAGGGTAGCTGCAATGAGTGATGGAGCTGGATTGGGGCTTCACTGGCCTCCCGTGGGGTGGGGCTGACGATGAAAAAGATGCCAGAGGCCCTTGCAGGGCTGGGCAGGGCCTCGGGGTTACCCAGGAGGCGGCCACACATACACACCTACACACGTGTGAGCATACTACACACGTACTTGATTGCATGGAAGGGTGTGGGAGGCCCCACCCCAGCCACAGGCTGGGCCCTTTTTCTGTCTGGGGCCTCACAGCTACCAAGTGTCCTAATTAATATTATTCTCATGATAACCCTGGAAGGCAGCCAGAGAGGCGAACGCATGCCCTGGCCAGGGTCTGTCTCCACTTCCAGGCTTCCAGTCCTCCCGGGAGCCAGCAACAGCCAGGAGTCAGGCGCTCTGAGATCCCACACCTTGCTGCTCCAGACACAAGGCTGGGCCCCTGGGACAGCAGCTCTTCACATCCTGGTGTGAATTAGTGGCTGTCCTCCAGCATTTTTCCAGCTCTGTGGGAGGCAGGAGGTTGGAATGTTGAGAAAGCCATTTTCAAAGAGGAGAGGAGAAACACTGGAGAAACACAGCCCAGGGGGGTGTGATTCTCTTGGCCTGAGGTGGTCCTTTAGCTCCAGGAGCTTAGCCCCCCAACCCGGGGGCAGAAGGCTGGCCATCCCAGGGGGCCACCCACCCATCTGTTCATCAGCCAGACTGGTCTTCTGCTCTGTAGCAAACATGCAGGATGTGGGCTAAGCCAGACAAGTTCTCTTGGAGCCTTGACATCTGTCTGGAAGAAGTGGAAATAGTCAAGGGCAGTGTGGCTGTGGGTCAAGGACCTAAGCCGGAGCCTACACAGCGCAGCTGACTGCAAGGGAGTTCAGAGTGGGTTGCAGGGAGGTAGAGTGAAAACTTCTTTGCTCCTCACAAGCCTGCCGGCTGCCCCAGTGGTCCCCAGAGACTTCCAACCAAGATGTCCTTATCATGCCCTCACTTGGGCTGCCCTTGGCCAGCCCATGCCTGCTACACCTGAACTGACCTGATGATCTAGCCTCCCTTATACCCCCTGACCATAGCAATCAGACAATATCTGGAGCTCAAACTCCCATTACACAGAGGCCCACAAAGGGGCTTGCACAGGATGACGACACCAAGGCCAGCTCACCTGGGCACACACACACCTGGAGAGATGGCATGGAGAGAGCCTTCCTCCCAGGTCAAGAAGGGACAAGCAGGCAGGCAGAAGGAGGCCGGACTCCACCTGACACTGAACTCTGGAGCCAGGCAGAAGACGGGGGGTGGGGGGAGGGGGTGCCAAGGCCAGAGGTCACCCCTGAGCCCCACAGCACTGTTAGTGCATCTGATTGCACTGTCAGCATTTGAACTCTCAGTAAATACACGGGAGAGT